ATGGGACCAATGTGGAAATCTTTCACCACACAGCATTACCACCACTAGATGGAGACAAGGAGCATAGGCCTCAGCTCCATTTAGTGGTGGTAATGATTTACACATCAGGTCCTTAGTGTTGAAATGGCCACTTGTAGCCTGCATCGGTTGTGAAAGGTTGACAACGCAGGAGCACAATTCAGGACAGGGACAGTGTTGTCAGGAAGTGCTTATACAAGGGTCACCAGGTATTCTAATATATATATATATATATACATATATATATTTATAAAAGCTGCAGATTTGTAAAGATTAAAAATGACATTAACATTCCAATGTTTCTATAAGATTTTAGTGACGGTGTGTACATATACTTTAGGTTAGCAACTGTAAAATAAAAATGATGATTTTAGGTAAATTGGGAAGACGATCGTTTTAGCAAACACCAGAGTGTATACAGTGACATGTTTCAGATGCATTGTGTTACAGTTTTGAAGGAATCTATAGGAATTGACATGAATGGTGAAGTATAGGTCAAAACAATCAAATCCAGCAGACTGAGGTCAACAACCCCCATTAAATCTTCATAATTGCTTTGGAGCCTTACTGGTTCAAGAAATGGTTAATAAATAAATGTTTTAATTTGATGCTTGGAGTTGTTTTATAGGGAAATTCTGCTCAGTAAACAGACTTCCTGTAAACCTACATCCCTATTAGGTAACATATACTTGATAATGTTTTTATAGCTGTGAGCTAGAGAAGTGCACGCAGACTTCCTTTAGAGCACAGTCACATCTATGCATGCTTGCTGCAGCACGTCGTATCTCACATACATACACTATATTACCAAAAGTATTGGGACGCGGCCTTTACACACACATGAACTTTAATGACATCCCAGTCTTAGTCCGTAGGGTTCAATATTGAGTTGGCCCACACTTTGCAGCTATAACAGCTTCAACTCTTCTGGGAAGGTGTCCACAAGTAGTGTGTCTATGGGAATGTTTGACCATTCTTACAGAAGGTCAGGTACTGATGTTGGACAAGAAGGGCGGGCTCACAGTCTCTGCTCTAGTTCTTCACAAAGGTGTTCTAGCGGCTTGAGGTCAGGACTCTGTGCAGGCCAGTCAAGTTCCTCCACCCCAAACTCGCTCATCCATGTCTTTATGGACCTTGCTTTGTGCACTGGTGCGCAGTCATGTTGGAGCAGGAAGGAGTCATCCCCAAACTGTTCCCACAAAGTTGGGAGCATGAAATTGTCAAAAATATATTTGTATGCTGATGTCTTAAGAGTTCCCTTCACTGGAACTAAGGGGCCAAGCCCAACCCCTAAAAAACAACCCCACACCATAATCCTCCCTCCACCAAACTTTACACTTGGCACAATGCAGTCAGGCAAGTACCGTTCTCCTGGCAACCGCCAAACCCAGACACGTCCATCGGATTGCCAGACAGAGAAGCGTGATTGGTCACTCCAGAGAACACGTCTCCACTTCTCTAGAGTCCAGTGGTGGCGTCCTTTACACCACTGCATCCGACGCTTTGCATTGCACTTGGTGATGTAAGGCTTGGATGCAGCTGCTCGGCCATGGAAACCCATTCCATGAAGCTCTCTATGCACTGTTGTTGTGCCGATCTGAAGGCCACACGAAGTTTGGAGGTCTGTAGCTATTGACTCTGCAGACAGTTGGCCACTTCAGCATGCGCTGACCCCGCTCTGTCATTTTACGTGGCCTACCACTTCGTGGCTGAGTTGCAGTTGCTTCCACTTTGTTATAATACCACTATCAGTTGAATATTTAGTAGCAAGGAATCCAATGATTTGGAGGGGTGTCCCAATACGTTTGGCAATATAGTGTAGGTGTGAATGGGCCCTTATTGTTCCCCTTTTAACACACTAAACTGGTATGCATTGATGTGAAGACCAGAATGGATTTATACCTGAAATGCATTTCCATGCAGTACAATTGATGCATTTTACTACAGGAAACTAAACTAAATCGGACCCATGTTAGGTCTATGGGGAGTTGGATGCAATCTGACATCAGATTACCTTTGATCCGCCCCATTCTGTTCAGGGTTTTTTTTTTAGGACCTAGACAGACTGAGGTAATTGGATGTATATGGATGCCCATGTAAAAGACAGTCAGAGCATACATCTATATCTGACCATACCCTAATATCTTATGGTTGTCATGAATGTCAAGATTTTGGCCATCTGGGAGCCTGGTGTCACCTGATTATAGCCATCTGGCCTGAGTGCATGGCATTGGCTTCTTTCTGGCTCCATATATTGGTACTTAGTGTCCCATTCTCTTACTGGGTCGGTAGCACCATTGATCCAGGCTTGCCCTGGCTCTTGGAAACTAAACCAAACTGCCAAATTGGACTTAACAGAACACTTCTAAGGTCCTGCAGAACCTAACACCGAGAAGGCCAACGTTCAAGTTCTGTCTCTATATATGACGCCACACACCTGTGTACCACTCCTCAAAAAACTGATGAAATCAGAGCATACTAGAATCTTCCACAATAGTAGGCAACCTCAGCACTCTAATTGGAGCTACAAGTCCCATGAGGCATTGCAAGACTGACAGGCACGATGAGATTTGCCGTTTCACGACAGCTGGAGCACTGAGGTTGCCTACCTGTTCTACCATATAGTTCCCGGTTTATTGAAACTGATGCTGCTGTATCACTTTCTGTCCAGGTCTCCGTGTGTTTGTCTGATGCCTGACCTAAACTTCTCTACCACTCCCCTTGGAATTGAGGGATGCTTAATTTGGGGCGGTCTGACTAGGGGAGACCATGGAAGCACCGCCTTATTTTTGTAGGTTATTCAATTCTCCTCTTGTACTGCTGTGCTGCTGCTTATGTGGTGACTGGCAGGGGGCTCAGTGGTTCCCCCACTGCTCGCTTCAAAGATGCTTGGGGGTGTAACGGCTGGGTGTGCATTTGACAGTAACCTACTCCATTGGTGGGGAAGGAATTTAGGCACATTTGGGTCATGACAGCTTTCAGAGATTCATCAGTTAGCCATAGCTGTCTTTTCCTTTCACAACAGAGCAATCCTTGTTGGTTCCTCCAAATCAAAGGGTTTTGCAATTCTTTTTTTTTTTTAAACATATTACACAACAATTGGCTGATAAAGACCTATTCATGAAAGCAGGGATGGCCAAACTGTGGCCCTCCAGCTGTGGTGGAACTACGAATCCCATGAGACTTTGCAAGATTCTCACAGCCACAGACATGACTCCCGGAGAGAGATGCTTCATGGGATTTGTTATTTCACCACAGCTGGAGGGCCGGAGTTTAGCCATCCCTGCATTAAAGGGTCACTTGGTAACAGACCGATAACCTTAGCTAATTTACTATCCCAGCAACAGACAGACATCTTCTCTTCCCAAGGAATTCACAACAGGCATTCTGATTTTGGGTGGTGATCTTCTGGGCACGTCATCAGTGTTGCATAGAGTCTTACACCACATCAAACAGCAAATTATTACCTTGATCCTAGGAGTGAGCTGTGAAAGTCTGCATCTGAGTTTTACTGCACACAGAACCATGGGATAAAAAGCAACATACACCGAGTGGTAGGTGACTGATCTGTGAAAAATACAAGGCGAGACTACTTTTTTGGCCTTCGAGAAGATATGTGTATTAGAATTTTGACATTCTACTACAACCCATAAGTCAGGGTCAAGGTGAATGACCACCTGTTGGATGCCTTTAAAATCAGCAATGAGAATAGAAAGGGATGCGCCCTGTCTCTGATAATATTCATATTCACCTTGGATGCCCTCTGACTTCCCTGAAACAGAATCCCGATTTTTCTCTGGGCATTTCCAAAGACTTCCTGAGAGGGCCTCTTCCAGATTCTAAATTAGAGACAAGTCACATGACCTCTTCCAAAACACAAGACCTGACGAACCTTAGGGGACTGTGCTGCATATTTGTTGGCAACGTCCCCTTTTTACCTTTTGGTCTGACAAGTAACACCCTTCCTGTCTTAGGGTGACTTCAATTGAGCCACCCTTGGGCAGCAGCATTGTCAACTTGTGGAGAGGGTAGTGTTAGATGGACTAGACAAACTCAAGATAACACTTTTTAAGCAGTTAGTTTTTTTTTCCTTTTGGAATGAAGGTTTTTACATAAATAAATAAAAGCTGACCATTGTAAGCAATCTGGTCAGTGTTAAATGGTTTTCTCAACCCTCCATCTTTTGCTTGGTCTGTTAAAGGAAGCTGAAAAATAACTTACTGACTTACTGGCCAGATCGCCAGCTTAAAATAAAGGGGGGGAAAAAAAGCCTATAAAAAAAAAAAAAAAAGAAACGTTAGCAGTTACCAGATTTAAGGATTGGTAAACTACAATATATTAAATTTTTGCTTGTGGGTTTAGATACGCTGTCGGCTATGCACATCTTCAACGCAGCTAGGATGTGCACCCAAGGCCACCGAATCTCAGTTTAAACCCCCCCCCCTTGACCATCCCCCCACCCCTTATTGCTTTCCTATCCCAACACGCTCCCCTTTCCCCATCCTCAATCATCTTTACCTCCCCTCTTTTTCCCTTACTCATTTTTCAGTTGTCCTTCCTTTTACTTGCTTACTACCTTTCTATTTCCCATCCCCTACTGCCCTTCAAGGGTTCTCCCATTACATCCTTGTTAGTCCGAGGATAACCCAACAGAGGAATGCCTTGCCTATTGTCCCTGAAGATGTATTCTCCACATTGCAATAAAAGCGCACCTTATTTGAGGGCATATTAAGCTACTAGAACTATCCTATGACTGGCTAGTACCCTTTCAGAAAGGGCTCTCTGCCGCTCTAATCCTGTACCTTTGTGTTCATTTTTGTACTCTGTTTTAATGCTGGTGTATGGCTGCACATGAATAACTTTGTACACTAGAAATACACTAGAAATTGAGTTTATAGACTGGGTATGAATAGTGGGAATAAGATGTACAAAGTGACAGAGAAAAATGTTTAGTGATATTCTACCATAACAGTCACACAAAGTAGTCAACTGCAAATTTTAGATTTATTTAGGAAATGGTTTGCACATAATTAAACTTCAATTGCAAAAAATCTCCCTGAATTACAAAAGCCAACGAGACAGGCGCAATATACCACAGTGAGGAAAGTGGTGTGCGAGCAGGACAGAAGGCGAATCATCCTGAGGGGCAATCTGCAAGGTGCAGCAGCATATCACAGAAACGAAGATGCATCATTTAGTGTTGCTTTCTTCTGAAAGAACAACCTGTGTGAAGATAAGTGTGCGATCAGTGTTACTTGATCAAAAAAAGACTTCAAAATACATGTACATGCACCAAACACACCTAGCAAGTGCTGTGTGTTTTATCACAGACTACAAAGTGCTGCCAGCAGTGCAACATAATAGGAAGCCAAGTTTATATATTTTAACAACAGAACAAAGCTTTCCTAATATACACAGAGGCAGTTATATGACAAACTGTTAATCTGCTGGTTTACACATACCTTCCTACAGCACAGAGTGAGCCTGTGCCCACACCCCCACAGGACAAAAATGCAGGTTCTAAATAGACAGGGCCACCTCAGTGTGTGATGTTAAAAGCTAGGAAATGTTCTTCCTGCAATGTCTATTGTTGGACATGGAAGGCAGAGCTCACTTGGTGCAAGTCTTAGTTCCAAACCAGGTGTTTTGCCGTAAGACAAATGCTCTAGTTCCTGCACCTAGGCCTGGACCAGTGTTTGGCTCGCATACTATCAAGGGTCAGGTTTCTCCTCTTTCTATCCTGTTTCTGAGACCACTGGTCTCTCAATCCTTGTTGAAGACCTTATACAGGCCACAGGATCAGAAAATGGAGGGCATTTCAGTGATCCTCATTGCTCTGGACTGGCCCAGGTGGATGTGGTTCACTGACCTGATAAGAATTCTGGTGGACGCTCCGTGGGCACTGCCAGATTGTTGGGATCTTATGTCCCAAGGGCCAGTGTACCATCCTGTTTAATGGTCACTGGCTTTAAGAGCAGGACTGTTAAAGCCAATGTTCTAAAGGACAGGGGTATCTCAGTCTGTGATGTTAAACTCTAGGAAATCTTCTTCCCACAAGGTCTATCATCAGGACATGCAAGGCATACTTCACTTGGTGTAAGTCTAGTTTTCACGCCAGGAGCTTCTCCGCAAGACAAATCTCCTGGGGTGAAAACTAGTCTGGGCATAGGTGCAATTTAAGACAATTACCAAAAGGAGTTTAGAACCCAATAGTTACCTTCTGTGAGCCTGGCTTTTCCACCTGTGGGCTGGCACAGGACTGTCGAGCACCCTACACAAAGGACAACTGTCTGTGCATGGCTGAATACAGTAGTGATCTTATAGCAGCCTGGAAAAGAAAGAACCACAAATAATAAAAAAATGGTAATCATTTCACTGGCTTTTCAACTTAATAGGTTCAAATTAACAGCCCAATAGTTAGCATGTGACTAGGGGGGTTCATAAAATGGTAGCCTCCATCAGAGGCTTCAAACATGTCCTGTGTGTAAAATGCAAGGCGCAGAAGACAAATGTTTCATGACATGAACAAACGCCATCAAAGTTTAAAATCTCAAGTTAGAAGATTTAGTTATGCCGTGACCGATATTCAAAAATGTTCTGCAATGGCCTTCAGTAACATTGTAGAATTTAGAATGTCAACTTTAGTCAATTATATTCATTGCCAAGTGCTGGATGTAATTGTTTTATGTTAGATGTTCTTAATTCAAAGTTTACAAAGCACAATGGGTTATGGCTGGTTTCACACCTACGCCTTGCGTAACACATAGTGTGCACATGTACAGTAGCTGGCAATGAACCTGCAGTACAGCACACAATGATGTGCGTTGCCAAAAACAGTGCAGGTCTGTTTTATCATGAGTTACCGTTCACTGCCAGCTATTCAGAGTCAATGAGCTGCCTATTGCCATGAAAATGCGTGCACTACAGATCGCAGAGACATGAAGGAGCCCTTAATAATGCCTGAGTACCGTTTCTGGTAGAAAAACTAGTGCAGGAGTTGTGCATGCAAACTGTCAGGAGGCTTCAGAAACATCAAATCTATAACATCAGCTTCATTTATAGGTTCTAGCTAAGTACCAGCCGGGATATTGAAGTCAGCATTAGAGAAAAGCACCAGAGGCTTTCTCGGATAACAAAGGTAATGGCAGGCACATTGTGGTGGGTAAGGCTTTACGTTTTAAATAGCGGCATGTTGTGCTTAATGTAGGCCCAGAAGATTGCTCCTGTGGTAAAAATAACCCTGTGTCCACTTCACTTTCCTATAAGTTATAAATCTTTATCACACATTACAAATGAACACATTGTGTTTTACATAACACATTTAAATAGGTCCAGCAATTTTCCTCTTAGTGAACAGACCGGCTATATGGCAATAGCTTTTCCAATATTTAAGGTGTAACTAAACCCAAAACATTTTCTTTTGTTTTGGATATTGTGTAGCAGGATTAGAACCCCTTGAGGGCTTATACTCATGTGTGTCCTAGCTAGGGCGATTTACTTCGTCCTAATGGCCACCGGGACTGAAAGTTAGCTTTTAAGTTACTACCAGAACAGGAATAAAAGGGAAACCCTAGACCGGGGAAACCTGTTCCAATGACAACTGTCTGAAAGGAGATTTTCTTCATTTTGGAGAGCTTTCCTGTCACTTTCTGTTGTGCCTACAGGGAAGGAAGTGAAAGGAAATCTCCTCAATGGGACACAGACAGCCAACACTCTAACCAAAATTAAACAAAAATGTTTTGGCTTTAGATATACTTTAAATGATATGTACACTGTTTTTTGACAGGCAGCCACCAACTTGTTTTTTTCTCCCCATTCTACAGGTTTTTAAATAAAAGGTGATCTGGGTGGCTGTAGAGCCACCTGATCACTTTCACATGACTCATGAGGCACAGTCAGTGCTTGAAGGGCTGTAGCAGAGGACATGGGAGACATGAGGAGTCTAATAGAGTACCGGTCAGCTGCCAAATTGCTGCTTGTTACCCCCCCTTGTGAAATCGATAAAGTGATAAAAAAAAAAAAAAGTTTAAAAAGAATGAAAAACAATAACATAAAAAAAAATGTAAAAGCACCTGTCACATCTATATCTAGACAACTATTGCGCAACACATATTGGGTAAAGCCACGAACACTAGAGTGAGAAATAATTCTAGGTCCCTTATTGACAGTTAACTCTACAGGGGCTCCGTGTTCAATAAATATATGATGCGTTAAGCATTTTTATACATAAAAGCTGAAAATGCAGATGTTTAACGTGTGCATGTTAAAGTAAACCCAGAAATGAAAGCAACAGGGACTGTCGTTGTTGACCTCCTTCATAAAATGCTAGTTACCTGACCGTTGTGCTTACCCACGGGCTTCAGTTCCCCGAATCTCTGACCCGAGAGGTATACAGAAGAATACAGATTGGTGCCGATTGGCCCAGTGCTGTCACATCCTTAAAGTAAACCTGCTGCTTTGCCGTAAATGTCCAACCACGGATTTGGTACCATGGAGTGGTGAAGAGGTTTTTCAGAATGAAAACTAGTGAACCAATGAAGTACTGCTTACTATCTATAAGCCAACAACTGACCCTCATACTTAGTCTTACCTAGTCAAAGTCTTCACAACACAACCACCAAACTATAATTTTACTCCCAAGTGCCCTCTTACTGAAAACACTTGTCTGGATGCCTAGTCCACACTGTGCTCTGTGTTTCCATATGCCATGTCACTATTGTGTCCTGTAGGGGCTAGTGGATCAAACCAGAGAGTTCAAGGGAGACCAGGCATCCAACACACTTGGAAGAGTGTTGGACACTGCAGAACCTTCAGCAAGCTCATCGGTTTAAGACGGACACTGTGACAGGCAAGGATTTATTATTTTCTTTAATCGAGAGGCCGCTTTTATATTTTTTGAATAGTGACAGTGTTTTGAACCGATATTTGGCACATGGCAATGGCAGCAAACATGTCCTAAGGCATACACTCGGTCCACACAGGGACTTCCAGGAACTTTAGTTATTAAACTGCAACTGTGCAGGTACAATTTCTAGATTGACGCAGGGACATTCATTTCTCTTTCTGTACCTTTAATAAGATACGTTGCTGTATAGAAGTACAAAACATAAATAATAGCTCAGTCTTACCTGGGCATTTAACATCCATAAAGTAGGAGTTAGGGCTCTGGACCAACCTCTTCTTCTTATGCCTCGTCTTCTCCTCATCAGAGGATGGATGCAGTAAATCTTTGGCTAACTGAAGAGAGGCAAAAATACATTAGTCTTTCTACCGAGAACATTCTTGGGGAAGGTATCTGAAGTTACTGTAACCTGATGTCAGCCGTAATTATGTACAGGAGACAAAAAAAATTATATAAAAATGTAAAAATAATATGTTTACCATGCTGAAAAAGGACTGCCCTGTTCCTTTTACTGTGTGTGCTGTAATATAAACAATGCAGCGTCTCTGATGACTAAACTGGACGTAGATGCAGCACAGCACACCTTATATAATTTACAGTAATCATGGACCTTTGTACTTAGCTCAGAAATGACATCACTGTTCTATGGCATTCACTTTTCACTGGAAAGCAGCCAGATGATGATGATGATTAAATGCACCATAAAAGACAGTTACTGGACCTGTTACAGTAAATGCAAAGACAACGCTCTCCAATATACAAGAGACTCGCATACAATGAGAAACAAGACAATGACCTATCTAATACAATGTTTTCATTAAAGTGTGACTAAACTCAGGAGTTAAACCTTACAAATACATTCAATTACCTTAATTATTAACAAACATGTATTTTATTTGTGTATCACTCGGCTGTAGAGTCTCAAATGTGTTGTAAAGTAACCACCGTTCCAAGCTCACTCCTGGGATGGTCTACAATCTCAATACAAATTAGTGGTTTGGAGCAGTGACTACTTTACAACACACACAGGGGCAATGGGGAACAAAAGTAGCCACCCTCCAGAAGGAAGGACAGTGTCAGCACCAATTCAGAGATGATTTGAGGATCTACAGCTGAGTGATGCGTTTCGAGGCGTACCTCTTTTTCAAGCTCTAAGAAAAACTTTTCTTAGAGCTTGAAAAGGAGGTACGCCTCAAAACGCGTTGCTCAGTCCATCCTTTTGCCTTCACTACCATCATTGATATCATTCCTTGCTGCCGCCTGACACTCCGACAGAACATTTGGTCCATCTCAGCCATTACCCGATCTCCAAACTGCCGCTCTAACTCTCACTGGCTGCCCCATCGATACACTTCAGCTGCTCAGTGCCGACTAGAGTGCGCACAGTCCACCCCACACTGCACCTACTACCCGACACGATCTATTTGGTCGTGGATCTGTCAGGGAGACTTCTACAGCATTGAGCCCCTGCGGCTTATCCCCCGCTTCTCTCCCCGATTCTGCCTTGCACCACACACACCAGTATGGTGGGAATCGAAGTCTCCACAACAGCATTGCTTTTGTAACACAGAATTGCTCATATTGGACACCTCGATCCTCTACCAAGGATGCCACACGTTCAGCTCCCTCCGTGTAAGTAATCCCCTCTCTCTTTATCTCCTTGAGACAATTAGTCTTCTTTATACACATCATTATCACATCACCTGATTTGCAATGGGGGTTGAATGATTTTGATTACAACTGCAGACCATATTCTGCTCTCGAATAACATTACCCCACATCTCAGAAGAGATTTGAGAACACTAAACAAGCTCTGACTGTCCATCAATGAGCCTTGGCCACCCATTACCCTGTAGCCGGTTCACCATTTTCCTTCCTTGGACCACTTTTGGTAGATCCTGACCATTGCAGACCAGCAACATCCCATAAGAGCTGCAGTATTGGAGTTGCTCTGACCCAGTCGTCTATCAATCACAATTTGGCTCTTGTCTGCTCCTAACACATTAACTTCAGGGGCAAAATATTCACTTGCTGCCCAATATATCCCACTCGCTTCCAGGTGCCATTGTAATGAGAATCAATAATATTCACTTCACCCGTCAGTGGTCATAGTGTTATAGCTGATTGGTGGATATGCTAATATACTGTATAATAGGTTATCTGTGACGTGTGGCTATAAAAATATTTCCAAGCTAAAATGAAAACTGAACAAGACTTCACTGTAAGCACTTTACGTTTACCCCATGGTGTCGTCCCATTGGTGGTGCAGTTGAAGACAGGCAGGAGTCCAACAACCACCACCATCATCCTTGGTGAGAACTCTACCCATCTATGCCCAGGCTCACAGTGAACATTAATAACAAACGGTTGTTTTCCATTACCTGTGGGAAAGCACATAAAAGTACGACACCTCCTACCACAAATGTACCAACTCACTATCTGACCTTCACAATAATCTGCATATCACCATCAATGTGGAATTTACACTTTGTGAGTGAAGCACAATGAACATGTTCAGACATGTCCCAGTACAAGGAGCCATAGCAGTAATACTTCCTATCTCTGGGAGTAAAAGAAGACGATCGATAGCCTTCTGTGTGACATACTGCGTGAAAACAAAACAATACCATTTCTCAAAAGCATTACAAGTGGACCTTTCACCCTCAGAGCTAAGACTCCCTGGTGTATGCAGCACTGCACGCTGATCTCAAAGACTCGTCAAGTTCCATGTAAAACGAACTGTTTCTTTTTACATACGTTTATCTTCTTTTCGGTTTCTGGTATTTCCAGGCACTGGTGACGTAGCCAGGGCTTCACACATGCCCCAGGGGAAGGCTACGTCACCAGTGCCTTCCAAGGAGATCTGACTTCAATGCACCACCATGCCCTCTACTGCACCAGAACGAAGGGGATGTTTTGCTGTGCGTTCCTGCAGCTGCCACCCTGGAATGCACCGCAATTGGTGTGAACGGGCCCTTATGCAGCTTAGCAGAAACAAAATGCACAGAGATGTATCCTTTTGTCACACCAGTGAAGATACAGCCATTTACTTGTATAGAAAAAGGCCTCAAACAAATGTGTGGCTCACACACACCGGGGACGCACTTCATCAGGTGCCCTATGCTCTGCGGTCATGCAGCCCAATACATCTAAGGACTGGTTTGGTTTTAGATCCTTTAAACACAGCTCCCACGCACATCAAAAGAATAGGGATGGTGCTGGAGGATGAAAGTAGAACATTATGCATTCAGCACCTATTCGTATCCCCTGTGTGTCTGTATACGTGACATTTTAAATCGGCGCTTGACAAATCCCAGGAGCCAGCTCGCCAATGCTCCTTAAGAAAGACAGCTGGGCCTTACTTTGGAGGTTTTCTCTACTTCTTGTCAATAGACCAGTAAAAGATCCTGCTGGCTCCTGGACTGGACGGTCTGGCTTCTGAATCCAATATTAACTTGTCCACCCTGCAATTAAGTGTGATTAAACTGGAAGCAAAACCTTTATTTTGTGATTTGAATAAAATGGTGAGGGGTTAGACCCACTGGCAGGTTTTTATAGCTCTGTGTCCGTTAGGGAGATTCATTCCAATTATCCTGATCACTAATGTCACCGGGAAGGAAAGTGAGCGAAGATGCAAAATTTTGAGTTGCCACCAGCACAGGATAGAGGGGAATCTTCCAATGGGGACATTTCTTCCCGTGACAACTGTCAGAGGTTATATCCCTCACAATGGAAAGATATCATCTCACTTCTTGTCCAGTCCACAGGACAGGAAATCTTCCTATTAAGATACAGATGGCAATAAAAAAAGTTTGGATTAGGATGTGTGCTCAATATATGCTACTGCGCTGTGGTTTGCTTACAGACCATCTGTCACAATATAATGGTGTACCATGTGGGCACCGAGGGGTGAGAGCACCCACCAAGTGGGTACCTGGGCGGGTGACAACATCACAGCTGCATTGAAAGGCAGTGTGTCAGCACTAACACCCCATAAAAGGTAGGCCCATTACCATCAGTGACTGGCACAGTCATCAGTTGACAATTTTACATATTGTTAGTGGTAAATGCATTTGTGCATGATATGGAAACGTAAAGGCGTATGCGCAAACACATTTCAATCTAGTTTTTGGGTTGACACACACACTTTCATCGCATATACATGACATCCATACAAGCACTGACGTAGGAGAAGTAATCTTGGCATGCACCCCTACATCATCACTAGAAGCTGGCACTCTGCACAATAGATTATAGGGGGAATTATGAACACTGGGGCAGAGAGAATCTGGAACAGTTGCCCAAAGTAACCAATCAGATTAATTCCCCTTTATGAGTTCTCTCTAAGCATAGTCAGAAAAGAATGACAAAGCCCGTGAGTATTATCGGCCAGCAATGGAATATCTACAGTCTGTGAATGCAACAAAGACGGAATATATGGACTGATCATCAGGCCGATCACAATGACAACATGCAATCAACATTCCAGCTGTCAAAAAGGGGTATACGCATCTCACGTGACGTCACCTCACCCCCCACGTCCCGGCACATGACACTCCATACAATCTGTGAACAAGCCGTAAAGACGTCTAACTACTAGAGACACATGTAAAATGTGGCACCCAAAGTGCGCCATAAGCTGCCAACTTACAGGCATGGCTCTCCCTCGTGGATTTCAACAACACTCCACGCAGCACGCAGGATCCGAGTTCCGGGCAGAGAGGCGGAGCGATCATAGGGGGTTGTTTAGTACAAGACAGTGGGCGCCATGTTTACACTGGGCATTTCTTTCATTCGCGCTGAGCGAGAGCAAGGACTTAGCAGCAACAAGTGAACGGCTTGCCCTTACTAAACATGGCTTCTTACCTGTTTTCTTACCACATGTCACGCCGTCTGGATTTTTTATGGAAGGGAAGACATGCAAATGTTGTATGCTTTAGACATCTGCTATGCTGTTTGTTAGATGAGGGTTTTTCTTGGTTCCTGTATGTAAGCCAACCTCACCTTAGTCTGCCAGCTTACACCATCCTACCAGGCAGCTGTACCTTTATAATCAGATTGTTTTTGCAGAATTTTGCACACATTTGCAACAACTGTATGAGGGGAATTTATCAAAACTGTAGCTGACTGAATCTGGTGCTGTTTCCATAGTACCCTATCAGCTTCTCTCTTCAGTTTGTTCAGAAAAGCTTTAAAAATGAAAGATAGAAGCTGATTGGTTACTATGGACAACTGCTCCTGATTCTGGCTGCTCCAGTTTTGATCAATTTCACCCATTGTGTTTGTAACATCTTTTTCCTTCCTTTAGGGCCCATTCACACCAGCTTCTCCACAAAACGCACAGCAGCTGTTGTGCATTGCCCAAAACAGTGCCGATGAGCTGATCCTGGCACATCACACTGTGTACCTTATTATTATTATTATTATTATTATTATTATACAGGATTTATATAACGCCAATAGTTTGCACAGCGCTTTACAATATAAGGAAGACATTACAGTCACAATACAATTTAAGACAAGATGGTAAGGAGGGCCCTGCCCGTGAGGGCGTACAATCTAAAAGGTTTTTAGAACTTTAATGAAAAATCACAAGTGACATTTCATTCGATTCTATGGGCACAGGTTGTTGTTGCTCATTGCATCCCGCTGTGCTGAAAATAGTAAGGCATGCTGTACTTTTTTTTTTCACTGCACCCCACGGCAGTCCCATAAGTTGTCCATCGGTGACAAGGCAAATTGCCTCGTCTTGTTTTGGGGGCGGGGCTGCACTGGAACGCCAACTCTGCCCCCGCACATGTGGTGTGAATGGAGCCTCAAAGTGCACATTCTAATGTGTACTGAAAGGAATAGGAGTAATGCCATGCTGATCCCTCAGCTGTAATACGCAGTTGCTGACCCGTAGCAGGAATGTCGCTTACTAGTGAATTTAGAAAAAAAAAAATCCTCCTTAGGCCCCTTTCACACGGGTGTTTATTCTGGATCAGGATGTCAGTTTTTCAGGCAGGTCCAGACTGATGCCCAATGTCTGTCTATGGGCGAGTGGATGTTAATGATGGTGCGTCGCTCTACACACCCTTATATCCAAGTTTGTCTGGGAAAGAAAATGGGACAGGTTTACATCCTTTTCTGTTTTCGTGGGCCTAGACAGAACTGAATGGATGTAATCTGATGTAGATAGACATTGTTAGTGATAGGAATACACCGATACCGGTTTTTCCGTATCGAGTATGAGTACCGATACTTTGCTTTCGGTACTTGGCGATACCGAGTACCAATACCGGTGCTTCCGCTGCCACGGAGCCAGCTTCCCGTGCAATCTGATTGCCCAAGAAGCTGGCTCCATGTTGTCTAACCTGCTTGATTGAGCTTGGCCGGGAAACCGGCTTCCCAGCCAATCACCATCCAATCAGGAAGCCAGGTGCCGAGTAATGACCTGCCTTCCAGCTTCCTGATTGGCTGGGAAGCGGGCTCATGCTGATTGATTGGAAAGCTGGATTTCCAGCCAATCAGCATCGAGCTGGCTGTTTGGCCGGCTTGATGCTGATTGGCCTGGAATCCGGCTTTCCGGCCAATCAGCAAGGAGCCAGCTGGTCGGCCAGCTCAATGCTGGTTGGCCACAAAGCCAGCTTCCTGGCCAATCAGGGAGACGGGTCATTACTCGCCGCCCAGCTTCCTGATCGCATGGGAAGCTGGCTCCATGTTCCCCTACGGCACTGCCAGTCAGAAGAAATCTTCCGGTATCGGAGCATTTACTCGCCCAGTCTGATGCTGATCTATAGTGAATGCTCATTTGGTTTCCCCTAAGCAATCTGTTATTGTTTGCATCTGCCTGCTGCTGAGTGTACCCTTGTACTCTTGCCACAGAGCAGAGCAACCAATAATGGATTGTTATGAATATCTATGTCTCCCTGGCCATAACTTGGAGGTTCATGGCCAGTGGTGCATTCTGGGGGAGGACATAAATATTCAGGGTGGAACATGTGAGGTTCTCTTTTTCACCTGGGCCCTACCTGGGGGGAGGCTGTTATGGACTGTCTGATTTGGCTAGGCCTGAAGCCTGGGGACTAGCCGTGTGCTCACACTGAGGCCTGAGTCTGGGGGCCAGTGGCTGATACTGAGGATGAAGATGACAGAGCCATGGGGAACCTGAGAAGTGAGTCTTTGCTGAAACTGGAGCGTCTGATTGGTGAGTTCTGATTCAAGTACTGCTTGCCCAGGTGTTCTAAACACAGGTTGCCACATTTGGCTTAAAGTTCCTAGTCTGTGGAGGCAGCAGATACTGTGTTCTACCACTTAAAGGAGTCTGCACCAGCCTGGATGTTCCTAGCCCCAAACCTCTCTCCCTGAAGTTCTACAATAAAGTTTCTTCAGCATCATATCTACAGTCTGGATCTCGCTTTATCGGTTGCACAGAGGGTGGTAAGTGCTTTTGGGGCAGCCAGGTTGCTACAAATCCCCTAGACAGGCTATGGAAGACCCGGTTATCCAGCGGCTCCTTCAGGGGTGAGCGCTACATTAGTATTCATGAGATATTTATACAGCTTAACTGATGACGCTCATGGAAAGGGGCCTAAGCAGCATCATTTTCCTGGATCAAAGTATTAAAGCCAAAGAATCAACATAACAACCAGGAAAACAGAGGATAGCGATGGCAGCCGTCTTGTTTCTCTTGGTAAAGTTTCCCTGTAAAATGGCTTTGCTGCTAGGAAATATCATGTAAGATGACATTGCTGTGTGGTTGGATGTGCCAATACATTCCAGTACCTAATCATTAGGGCACATTCTCACCATAGCATGTGCATGGGCCCTTATGTAGGATGCTTAGGACCCTAAAACGAAAGCACATGCAGTATGCCTGTGTTTTATGTGTAGTGGTGACCCCTCCATGTCACCAGTTGTAGAAGTGGTCTTACACTGAGTCGCAGAGCTTGGTCTTCACATTTGCTTCCCATAAAAAGGGTGGAAATAGGTGGGACGTTCCAGGTTGCAGTCCAGAGTTTGTTCTGCTGGTGAAAGCCAACAATGGAACAGAGGACCAAGCTAGCTATAAACAATAATAAAGTACTATAATTCCACAAAAAGCAAAACCAGCGCCAGACAGGAACCTCCTTCAGCCACAAATTGAATCTTGTGTTCCAGGCAGGCCGCCCCGTTACAGATGAGGGATTACACTGTGTGAAACATAAAAAAGAAACACCGAGCGCCTTTCCTGGTGCAAATAATCCTTTTATTTGTTTAGAAAGATTAAAAGTGAAAAATGGTACTCACAAAAGATGTGGACAAAAAGCGTGTTGGACATAAATCTCAGGATATATGCAGAGCTCTGAGGAAGGGGAAACTTCCCAAAAACGCGTTCAGCTGAGTCAGCTTGTTTCTGCTGGTCTAGCAGAGACTCCTTAAAAGCACAGCTGAGCCACTCACTCGGTGTACTATCGTTCTGGATCGTCGAGCGAGTGACTCTCTGTACTGAAACAGAGACTGCATTACTGCACGAAGTAATAGCCTTGTTCCATCGCTGCCTCCCACCATTACCAAAATTCCCCTTGGTACTGAGTGCATTGGGGTTCCGCAAAACTGAGCCCAAACATTACACTTCACACACACTCCGCAGCTGAGATCCGCATTAGACATAACCGTCGACTGTTACAATACTACATATAGAGTGCACTGAACAATAGATTTACAATTATCCTCTGCTAATATGAATGGGTTAAATGATCCGTAGTACATGATATGTAGCCCTGTACCCCCTTTTCCACTTACAGAGCTAGGTTATTTTTCTTTTAAATAAATATTAATGTAATTTTATTGGTATCTATCTACCAGTAGCTGCCTCATTTCCCACCCTCGGCTTATATTCGGGTCAATACTTTTTCCCAGGTTTTTTTGGTAAAATTAGGTACCTCGGCTTATATTCGGGACGGCTTATACTCGAGTATATACGGTAAAAGGATTATTTGCACCAGGAAAGGCGCCCGGTGCTTCTTTTTTAATAATAAAGTACTGTACTGGGCAAGCCATTGCTTCAGTCCCACTTTTCAGAAGATGAAAAGAAGAACTAACTGTTGCACTGTCTTCATACACTGAACTCCGTGGTGTTGACTAGTGATGAGCATAGACTTGGTGGAAACCCAGTCAGAGCTGGGACTGCCAACCACCGCCACCCCTCATCCTGGCCCAATCGGTTGGGCCAGGCACATTCCCCACCCAGCAGCTATACGTCACACAGGGAATGCCCCCACCGCATCTGCCATCAAGGATTAGGCCAGGAGGAAGGGGAAGTGGTGGTCACTGTTCTGTGGAGACTTAGGGAGAATTCAGGCAAACTGGGTTCGTACCAAGCCCAGGGTCATCTCTAGTGTTGACATGAGAAGGTGCCTGAAAGATTCCTGCATGTGGCACTTCCAAGAGTGTCAAATACCAGCGTTCAGAGTTGTGCTTTGTGGTTTCCTTTGCCATCCTTTACCTCACTTACAAGATACAGTGGGGGGAGCGGGGAAAGGGGAAGGATTCTTTCAGCAAGCTTCTCTGTTCTAAGCAGCTGACTTCAGTGTTATGATCAATAGGACAGGTAAGCATTATCTGTTTGCTTGGCAGGGAGCTCTTCTTTTTATATTTTAAAAACTGTGACTTTATGCAGACAAAATGAGTTGAAGGACACTTTTTATTTTCAAAATAAAAACATTAAGAAGGCAAAATAAAAACATTAAAAGAGTGCTTTAAATAAATAATCCACATACAAATCTTACA